AGACAGACAGACAGACAGACAGACAGACACAGACAGACACAGACAGACAGACAGACAGACAGACAGACAGATAGATAGATAGATAGATAGATAGATAGATTTTATTTATTTATTTATTAATTTAATTTCTTTAAATAGATCAATCTAACTTTTGATTTAAAAGACAGTAAATAGCATATTAATAAATATATTGTAATATTATCGCTTTAAATTAATTACATTTAATTGTCATTTTGTAGTCGTCCTGCAGGTGGCTGTACTCCTTACACGCCATTCTCAATAATTACTAAAAAACTACAATAATTATTAAGCACTTCTTAAGTTAAGATGCTTTTGGCGAACAGCCCATAATTCAAAGATGATTTGTACAAATGTTTCTGCGAACTGCTTAAACTTACAATGCTTTTGAGAAAGCGGCCCAGAACAATAGTTTTTCAACATTTCCTAAACATAAAGGTGATGTTTTCGACCAAGAGTGCGTTTGAATTCAAATAATGACCCACCAATTTGCACAATACTTTATTAGTAATTCAAAATGTTATGCATTGAGCAAAATAAAAACAAAAATTCAAACTGCGATCTGTTACAATACGTGACTTCGGTCAGTAACTTCCATTTCCGGTTCAACACAACGTCAAGGAAATACATAAAATGACTTTTAAAATGTTTTCTTATTTCTTATTGATTGTTACACTAGTTTAGAATGATGAAAAATATAATACTCGATCATTAGTGTTATATTAATCTAGAGCAAAAATGCAAAAAGAGAGCATTAATACAGAGCTGTAACACAAAACCGAAGCGCCTCAGGTTACATACGTTTTACTATGATTATACAGTGCTATGAACAAAACAAGTATAGGCTATACTACCACTAGCAGCTGCAGTTGCACATTAACAGTCTCGGGGATAAAGGGGTTAAAACACTAAACCTATTCATGCCAAGCCAGAATGGCACGAATTGCGCTTCTGTCTTGAAAAAGCCACTGAGATAAAGGGAAATCCCAATATTTGTCAAAAGAATCAACAATGTTGCCTAAAAGAGTAACACCTAAGAGTTTCTGAAACCCAAAACAAAGGAAAACTGTTGCGAGTTGTGTTGAGGCTCTACATGAAGAAGACCGTCGTCTCTGTCCTGATTTCAGCACTGGACAGCGTCTGTACAGCCTTTATACA